CCCAACAGCAGAAACTCATTAGCATTTTAGGCCACCCCCCTGCCAGCACAGCTCATTAGCACATTAGGCCACACCCCCATGTTACCAGAAGTTGTCAAAACCCAGGGTTTTTTTGTAGCAGGAACTCCTTTGCATGTTAGGCCACACACCCCTAATGTAGCCAATCCTAATGAGTTCCTGCTGTTGGGTGTGGCCTATTATGCTAATGAGCTCCTGCTGGGCGTGGCCAACTCAGGAGCCAGCCGGAACTACGTTCCTGTGCGTTCCTGCCCAAAAAGAGCCCTGCCTTTGAGGATGCCAGTCACAGCTGCTGGCGAAACGTCAGGTCGTACAATGCCAAGACCACGGCCACACAGCCCGGGAAATCTACAACAGCGAATGAAATCCGGCCGCGAAAGCCTTTGACAACAAACAGCTCAACAAAGTCGGAGTCCAGTGCCACCTTGAAGACCAACAAAGTTTAATTCTGGGCATCAGCCTTTTGTGCGCTTTAGGAAGAGGTGTGCCTGCACACGAAAGCTGATACCCAGAATTAAACTTTGCTGGTCTTAAAGAGGCCACCGGACTCGAACTTTGTCCTGAGGAGAAGGCTATAAGAAGCTTGGTTCCCCAGTGCAGAGGAAGTCAAGGAAATAAAAATTTGTGAGGTGGAGAAGTGAGTCAGACAGAGCTGAGGCACAGCCCACGCGAGGCCTCTTCTCACATCGAGCTATTTCTGCGCTGGTGTCGGAAAAGACCGCAAACGCTTTGTCAGAGGTGGGCACCGTGTCACCTCACTTCCGATCGTAAGCAACCGTGGCAGAACTCCCTCGTGTCACTTTCGCATGTGCACACCTTGAACATCTCCACCCATCCCCCAAGTTATCGGGTGTGAGACATCCCAAGGAATACTTGTGGCCTGGCCATATCCCCTGGGCCACGGCTTGGCAGTCTCTCCACCCGGCTGGCTTGCCCAAATCCACCGGTAAGCCCGCATGAACGTGCCGCAGGAGAGAGAGGCCGGCAGAGAAGCCGACTAGGCCCGGATGGGTGCTGCCTCTCCTTCCCCTGTCTAAAAAGGCAGGCATGCCAATTCGTTTTCTTACTTCTTCACCCAAAGAGTGATGAACACGTGGAATTCACTGCTGAAGGAGGTGGCGGCGGCTACAAGCATGGACGGCTTCAAGAGGGAATTAGATAAGCATATGGAGCAGAGGTCCATCGGTGGCTATTAGCCACAAGGTATAGATAGGGACTCTCGGTCTGGGGCAAGGGATGCTCTGTCTTTTTGGTGCTGGAGGGGGCAACAGTGGGAGGTCCTGGCCCCACTGCTGGACCTCCTGAGGGCGCCTGGTATTTTTGGCCACTGTGTGACACAGTGTTGGACTGGAGGGGCCATTGGCCTGATCCAACACTGGCTTCTCTTATGTCTTTATGCTTCTGGGCTCAATGCAAGGAGCCGGTAGGGACACTGAGAGCCCTGAACGGCCTGGGACCAGCAGACCTGAGGGACCACCCCCTCCAGTCCTCTTCAGAGGCCCTGCTTTGGTTGCCCTGGTCATCTGAAACCACCTGCAACTCTGGAAGGGCCTTCTCCGTTGTGGCACCAAAACACAGGAAACCCCCCCCCCCCCCCTGTCTCCCTCTATCCGTGTCTTTCACCAGGAGGTGAAGACTTCGTTGTTTCGTCTGGCATAACCCCCCAGTTACAGGCCCTCCTTCCAGCGCTGTTTATGTGTTTTTGACTGAATTATTTTACAATTTTAACTGTACTTTTAACTACTCAAATGTTTTAAACACTTTTTTAAAAAAAACTTTGACGCCTTGGGGACCCTGATCGGGCGGAAAGGCAGCACAAAAACGCTTACAAAAAAAAAAACCCAAACGATTCCGTGAGCGCCAGCGTGGGCACTTCTCCACACAGCTGGAAGACTCCTCCCCCGCCTGGTGAGGAAGCGGCTTCCATTCTCCGATGGTCAAAACGGGAAGGGAGACAAATGCCCCGGAATTTTACAATTTTAACTGTACTTTTAACTGCTCAAATGTTTTAAACATTTTTTTTTTTTTTAAGTTTGCCACCTTGGGGACCCTGATCGGGCAGCACAAAAATGCTTAAAAAAAAACACCAAACGATTCCATAAGCGCCAGCACAGGCACTTCTCCTCACAGCTGGAAGACTCCTCCCCCGCCTGGCGAGGAAGCGGCTTCCATTCTCCGATGGCCAAAACGGGAAGGGAGACAAATGCCCCGGGATGGTTCTGCCGTTCTGCTGGGTGGAAAGCAGAGAAAACGGCGGGCTCTCAGCACCCAAACTGCCGCCGGGAGAAACTAACCGCCGGGGCTGTAAAATGGCTGCTGTTAACGTAGCTCAGTTAAGCAAAGCCTTCTGGCGGGCCAAAAAAAGACTGCGCACGGGGAGGAGAGCCAAAATGGAAGGCTGCTGCACAGTGTGTGTGTGTGAGAGAGAGAGAGAGAGAGAGAGTGTATTGTCAGAGTTGTCAGAGATTCTGCTCGTGTGAACGGAGAAACAGATTACGGAGCTGCTCCCCTTTCCCGGAGAAGCGCCTTGCCCTCGTGGTTGCAAAGGCCTCCCCGGAGTGCTGGAGCACGGAGTTTGTCCCTCGGGGCTCTTCTTAGGCCGCCTGCTCTCCAGACCCACACCCACCCTGTCCGGGCTGCCAACAGACCCCCAAGAAAACGCACCTGGAGGGCAGAGAGTCCCACGGCTCCACAGAGACAAATGAGGGGGTAGATGGGGTACAGGAACCTCTCCTCTTTGTGGGGCTGGCTGAAGAAAATCAGGATCCAGATGTACATGGGGGAGAGCGTCAGCCAGTAAGGGCGGCCCAGGTTCTGAACTGGAAGAAACAAAACAGGCCAGCTTGAGGAGGAGGAGGAAGAAGAGAAGAAGAAGACGAGATTGGATTTATACCCCGCCCTTCACTATCCAAGGGAGTCTCAGAGCGGCTTAAAAACTCCCTTCCCTTCCCCTCCCCACAACAGACACCCTGGGAGGTAGGTGGGGCTGAGAGAGCAGCTCTTGACAATTCAGTTGTTGTTAGCAGCGGCTCCTAGTCGAAGGCCTGGTGGAAGAGCTCCGTTTTACAGGCCCTGTGGAACTGTAAGAAATCCCGCAGGGCCCTGATGTCTTCCGGGAGCTCGTTCCACCAGTGTGGAGCCGCCACTGAGAAGGCCATGGTTCTAGTAGTGGCCAATCTGGCATCTTTCGGTCCAAGGAGGGTCAAGCGGTTTTGAGAGCCCGACCTCAGTGCTCTCTGGGGGACATGCGGGGAAAGGCAGTCCCTCAGGTAGGCAGGCCCCAGACCATACAGGGCTTTAAAGGTCAAAACCAGCACCTTGAAGCGAATCCGGTATGCCACTGGCAGCCCAATCGGCTTCTAATCTCCCCAAGGCGACGGGTCTGCTACAGCTGGAAACAGGAAATGGTACCTGATCCAGCAAGGCAACCTGGGCCTTCCCATGACTTCATAAGACGTCAGGATGAAACGGGAGTCCAGTGGAAGGAGGGGCTCCATACACCCTCTCCTTTTTCGAAAAGCCAGGGAACACTCTGCACGTGTGGATTTTCAGGTGCACACGGGAGCCCCCAAGTACAAAGTCTGAAGGACTGTCCTCTCCCAGACGTTCCTGCCTGGGAACGAAGCTCACAGGCAGAGGCCCACCTGACTGTCCCACCAATCAAAGAAGCTTGTTTGGTGGGTGCACGAGGGAGGGCCTTTTCGGTGGTAGCCCCCTTCAGTTTTGGAACAACTTATCCTCACTCTCCCATCTTCAGGAGGCGGCGGAGGACGGTTCCATTTACGCCTGCGTTTGACTAAAGCCATCCTAAAGTGATTTAAATGTTTTGGTTTTATATGTTTTATGTATTTTATTTATATTGTCAGCCACCCTGAGTTCCATAAGGAAGAAAGTCGGCTAATAAATGTTTTAAATAAATAAATCAGTACATTTCCAGCGCCACTGGATCCCAAGTAAAGACACGAGACACACTGAAAGCCAGTTTGGTATAGTGGTACAATGTTCCCTCTAAGCTGAGTTGGTGTGAGCTGCCTCACAGTTTTTTAGCCTCCGGCTCACACATTTTTGTCCTAGCTCAGGAAGGAGGGCTCCAGAGCAAAGTAATTTCTGCAGCAGCCAAATCGCTCGCTCATAACTTTCATGCCAGGAGCTCAGAAAGTAGAATTGTTGCTCACAAGACTCCACAGCTTAGAGGGATTATTGGTGGTTAAGAGTGGCAGACTCTAATTTGGAGAGCTGGGTTTGATTCCCCCATTCCTCCTCCATGTGAAGCCTGCTGGGTGACCTTGGGCCAGTCACCGTTCTCTCAGAACTCTCTCAGCCGCACCTGCCTCACAAGGTGCTTGCTGTGGGGAAGGGAAGGGGATTGTAAGTGGCTTTGAGACTCCTTCAGGTAGAAAAAAGTAGGATATAAAAAGAAGAAGAAGAGAGGCAGGAGAAGAAGAAGAAGAGAAGAAGAGATTGGATTTATACCCCGCCCTACACTCGGAGTCTCAGAGCGGCTTACAAACTCCTTTCCCTTCCCCTCCCCACAACAGACACCCTGTGAGGTAAGGCGGGGCTGAGAGAGCTCTGACACAAACTGCTCTTTTTCAAGGACAGCTCTTGTCAGAACTATAGCTTGCCCAAGGTCATCCAGCAGCTGCAAGTTGAAAAGTGGGGAATCAAACCCGGTTCTCCCAGATTAGAGTCCGTGCACTTAACCACTACACCAAACTGGCTCCACACCAAAAACCTACTCTTCTTCTTCCTGTACTCATAATTAACGATCTCACAAATTCTCCAGTTCCAGAAACACGTCTCTCCTAATTTAGAAGTATAATAATAGGAAAATGAAAAGCCTGTTCTTTGGACTTGCCAACTACCTGCAGAGTGTGGTAGAAGTTCATCCAAAGGGGAAATTCTCTAAGAAGCTTAAGATACCAGGGGGGGGAAAGATTCCTCCTTAGGGATGGGCTTTTCCAAATCCTTCCCTGCCTCCTTTCAGGAGCAACTGCGAGAACACGAGAATTCTCCAGCCCTTGCCTCGTTCTTTATTTAACTCCCCCCCTTCTCTCCCAAATTAAGCAGGAAGTCATTTATTTGGAAATAACAGCAATTACTCCGATTTGTGAGGGTTGCGGAGGCAGCTTTGATCCATGTCAAAAAATGTGAATTGCCCCTAAAAAGAAACCCGCTTGGTGGTGTTAAAACAAATCAAGACTGTAAGCGTTTCGCACACCCACGAGAACAAGGAGTGCCAGAGAAGGGACCCCCTGCTGGTGAGGCACACAGTTGTCGCGGCCTCCACTGCTGGGCTTTCCCTGGCGAGAGGTGGGTGTGCTTCCAACAGTCAACCCTGTCGCTCTACGCATAATGTGAGCATTTGGTGCTCTCTAGTGGGCGCCCCTAAAAGTGCAGGCTACCATGTCTGAGCAGGAGTGGACCGGCCTCTACTGGACCTCATGAAGCTGCCGGCTGTTGAACCAGACCATCAGTCCATCGAGGTCAGTATTGTCTACTCAGACTGGCAGCGGATCTCCAGGGTTTCAGGCAGAGGTCTGTCACGTCACCTGCCTGGCCCTTTTAACCAGAGAGTCCGGGGAATGAAGAGAGGGGTGCCGAAGAGAGCGATGAGGATGATCAGGGGACTGGAGACCGAGCCCCACGAGGAAAGGCTGAGGGCCCTGGGAATGTTTCGTTTGGAGGAGACTGAGGGGAGACATGATTGCTCTCTTTCAATATCTGAAAGGCTGTCATTTGGAGGAGAGCAACAAACTGTTCCAGTTGGCAGCAGAGGACGGGACCCGAAGCAACGGGTTTAAATTACATGCAGAAAGGTATCGGCTGGACATTAGGAAACACTTTTTCACGGTCAGAGTGGTTCTAAGGTGGAATCAGCCGCCTAGGGAGGTGGTGAGCTCCCCTTCCCTGGCAAGCTTTCGAGAAGAGGCTGGACGGATATTTGTCAGAGGACTCTTCCAGGCCCTCTGTAGCTGTAGCCCCCCGTGTCCCCTCTAAGCTGAGTTAGTGTGAGCTAGCTGACAGTTCTGTAGCCTCCGGCTCACAGATTTTTGTCTTCGCTCAGGAAGGGTGGCTCCAGAGCAAACTAACCGATGCAGCGGCCAAATCGCTCGCTCACCACTTTAAGGCCGGTAGCTCGCAAAGTAGGATTTTTGCTCACGAGACTCCACACCTTAGCGGGAGCACTGGCCCCCACCCGAGCTCCAAGCCAGGACCTGCGGCACTCACCATGAAACTTCTGCAGAAGGTTTTCCATCAGCGAGGTCAAGGGCAAGGCCAGGAGCGCCAGTGCGAAGGCCACGTTGAAGTTGAGGAAGCCGTTAGCAAAGTAGAAGGACCAGGGCTCTGTGCCTAGGGGAGAAACACACGGGAGGGAGAGGCCTTTTGGTGGGCACGGTCCGGATGAACTGCCGTACGGAGCCGGAATACGCCTCTTCGGGGCAAAGGGGAAGCTGTAACACGAAGGGACTCTGGACCAGCCATCCCAGCCTCTCAAGTCAGGGGCACACGCAAGATTCTGTCTGCCCAAAAACATGAATGCAACAAAAGAGCAACTGGAAATCACCCTACGGGTCTGATTCCGGGATGGCTGGAATGCCGTCTGGCTCCCTGTTTGCTCAGGGGCAAGACCAGGTCTGCAGTCCTTGGTGAAGGAAAGGCCTCGGGGTCGGCTTCCAGAAGTAAATTCTTTGACGAGAGACCCCCCTCGCAGCTGTTTCTTTTCTTTGAGCTTGGGTCCCAGGTCAGGTTGCCAGCTCCAGGTAGGGAAATTCCTGGAGATTTGGCGGTGGGGCCTGGGGGGGAGGGCAGGGACCTCGGTGGGGCACGGTGCCACAGACTCCACGCTCTCAAGTGTCCATTTCCTCCTGAGGAACTGAGGTCTGCAGCTGGGAGACCAACAGCTGTTCTGGGAGATCTCCAGGCCCCACCTGGAGGCTGGTAACCCTCATTCCAAGTCCCTCTGCCGCTGCCCTCTCTGGTCCCTTTCTCAGTCCTGTCATCGCTGCGCAGAGCCGTTCAGACGGCATTCCCCTTCCCTCAAGGGCTGGGTTTGTTCCAGCTCTGGAAAAGAGGCTCATTGTCTTCCGACAGCTCCAATCCCTCCTCAGCCCAGGTGCGGCTTCCTGGGCCAGAAGTTCTACCACGACCACCACGGCCATCTTTTGTTCTCCCGCTGGCGCCCAGGGAGGCACCTGCTCTCAGACCTGAAGGAGAGGGGAAGCCAGGCCGGCAGTTGCCTAGCGACAAGCCCTGGCACAAGGCCTCGGCCTGCCCCAGTCGCTGGCAGACTCGTCGAGGGGCTCGCGGCTGGCACCGGCTCCCCCGCCCCCTTCTCGGCAGCTCTTCCCCGCCCCGCTCATTTTTGGCAACGGCGCGTTCCCGATTTAGAAGGCTCCACAGAAAGCGCAGGATGTTTCAGGGATTAGAATAGTTCTGGGGTGACGCGGCGCTGCGTGCGCGGAGATATAAAAAGCCCGCCGGGAACAAAAGCGCTCGTGCTGCTCCCGCCCCGATTCAGAAAGAGTCACCCGACAGCTGGTCGAGGGGGACCTTGTGAACCCGACACCCCGATTAACATTCCCTGCCCGAGCAGGGCTCTTCCTCCGGGGCCGGCTCCCTGACAGCACGAGGGTGGGCCTTCCTCAAGGGGGCGCACGAGAGGGTTTGCCGAGGAAGGTGTGGCGTGGGAAGGCGTCCGGGGCCTCTCTGACCAGCGTGTGCATCCAGCTTTGTGAGCCAAGGCGAGCGAAGGCCTGCAGGAGCTGTGTCCCCCCCACCCCCCCGACATGGAAGAGGAGTTGCAGAATGATCCCGCCTGCAGCCCAGAGAACTCTGCAGCTCCAGGAGGCCTTCGTGGGCCCGGAACCGGGGGGGGGGGGGGGGGCGCCTTTTTTTTGG